CTCTCTACTTCTCAAACTTACCATGTCTAAAATGGAACTTCTCATCTCCCCTTACGCCAACTCTGTTCCATCTGCAACCTTGCCCATCTCAGTTGACAGCAATTCCACCCTTCCAGGTGCCCAAACTAAAAACCCTGGAGTTATTCTTTGCTCTTCTTCTACACTCTGCATTCAACAGGTCAAAAATCTTATTACCTTTACCTTCCAAGTCTAGCTAGAATTCAACCACTTCTCACAATGTCCATTGCTTCCAACCTAGTCTGAATCACCATTATCACTCAAGTGGGTTACTGAAATAGCCAAATCAACTCCCTACTTTTGCCCCTGACCCATGCATAGTCTAACAGAGACCAATTAGCCTTTAAAAATTCTATGATGACTCCTCCCATTTCAATAGAAAAGGTCATAGTCCTTTCAAGGCCTAAGAAGGCTCTATCATTCTGGCCATACCTGCCTCATTATCTCACTCTTACTGGGGCTAGGGTCTTATTGGGACTAGGGTCTTACTGGGGCTAGTTCCTTTTGTATAGCTAATTCTCTCCCTTCCAAGTCTTTACTCAAATGTCATCTTCTCAATAAGATTCATCATCATTCGATTTAGTACTAGAGTACACTCCCACCACAGCCCTTAAAGGTGCACCACTTTTTTCCCATAGCACTTAACGCCTTCTAGTTAATGAAAACAACTACTAAACAAGACAGTCCCTTTTTAGATAATTGTCGATATTCTTCAGTACTATATTAAAACCAGACAAGTGGTAGGTTCTTAAAGATTAGTTGCAATGTAGAATCTGAACTATACCAGTAAACTTTTCATACTGTTGTATTAAAATCCACTGGTCTATTTTAAAATCTGAATGACTCTTTTACCCATGCCTGACTCTATGACACCATATACATATCGGTCATTTGAAAAATACCGGTTCACTGGGTTTGTGGGTCTTTCAAAACATTCTAAAAGTATTAAAAAATGTACACTTACTATCACCATCTCATCGGAAACATCCTTAGGTATTAGAAGGCTGGGGGAGAGGGGTCAATTCAAAAATTCAAATTTCTGTTTGAAAACTAGAATTTTGTCATTGATAACAAATGCTATCAGTGGTTTTCCTTAAAAAGGCTTCCTTCAGTTTTTGAGAAAATGTCTAGTCTGAGTAGTCAGTCTATTAATCGTTAAGAACGAGTCTCCATGAAAAAAAAGAAGCCTACAATTGAAACAATGCAGAACCCCACTTCCGCATGCAGTTACTTTATGCCTATTTCCCATTTTGTCACACAAAATATTAAATATAGAGGTATTCAAAGGTTGCGATCTAATAAAATTAGTATTCTTAAGTTAAACTGGCTTTTTTTTTTTTTTTAAATTGCAAGTACCTGGAGGTGAATATGATGACTATAGTCTGGTGCCACTGCCTGGATGCATGCTAAGGCATCAGCAGTTTTACCCATCATTGCTTCTGCACCATCAGGACAAATGTCAACACATTTGTGCCAATAATGTCTTAGTATTTTTATGAAAATAGTTTTAAACTCTCAGACCACAAGTAGGGTCTCAAGAAGGAGAATCCCTGACCCACAATGCTGTGCTACACTAATCCATTTGCAGAAAAATGGTAGCTGCTTTGCTACAATAATCCATTTACAGAAAAGTGGTTTCTTTGAGAATATTATCCAACAGGATAAGAAACTTCCCTTAGTTTTGCAATCTATTAGTAAGAAGAACAGAATGCATTTTTAGAAGGAAAAAAAGGGGAGGAGGATGTCTGAATGTTTGTCTCTTCCAATGTTAGTAAGATGAAATCCTACTCACATCCCAAGGTGATAGTATTAAGCGGTAGACACTTTCAAGGTGATTAGGTCATGAGACTGTAGCCCTGACATTTGGGATTACCACCTTTATAAGACACCAGAGATCCTGGCTAGCTTCTCCTACTACATGAGGATACAGTAAGAGAGTGTCTTCTATGAGGAAGTAGATCACCATCAGACAAAGAACTTGTTATTGCTTTAATTTTGAACTTTCCAGCCTTCAGGACTGTTAGGAATATTTGTTATTTATAAGCCACCAGTTTTTGGTATTTTGTAATAGCAGCTTAAACAGAGCAAGACAGAGGAAAAGGAGAGGTAGTAAAAATTAAGGAAATGAGACTAATAAAAATATGGTCAGAGTGAAGGGGAAATAAATCATATTAATTATACTTTTAAGTATTCTATTTCTGCCCTGATCTTCAAGAACACCGGTGAAATAATTTAACAAATATCATTCATTATACCAAAATGGGAGTTTCAATAAATAATGATTGAGCAAATAAATGAGCTCCAGGATATAAAAACAGACAGTTCTTAGATCATCTTTGATTTTACTCACTACATATATTAAATTCTGCCATAGACGCTACAAAGAAAAAACTTCATCTACTTAAAGTCTGAAGGTATATAGCTCCTATATGAGACAGTATCTTCCTCAAATACAAAAAAATGAGCTGCCTCTGTAGATATATGCCACTGATACAATAACTGGACAATGTATTTAAAAATGCATTTCATACTGCTTTCATCTCTATATACATACAGTATTAGAGGTCCAAATAAAATTAAATTATATTTACATCTTTTTTACAGGCTGCCATGATATGGTTCCTTAACTCAATTAACCTAACTACTGACCTTACAAACTCTGAATATTAACTCTGGCAAAAGCATAATGGGATCAAAGGGTGTCTTAAAGAAAGCACGAGTTATGCATGTCAGTATTTCACCCAGAACCAAGGTCCAGTGACGGTGTTTACCAATACAGTTACTAGGCTATTAGAAATCTGGGATTCTGATAAACATATTTGAATATTACAATTTTACTTATCAGAAAAACAACACAAAGGCTCCATATTCTGAAAACCCTTGCCTAAGATTAAATACACTGTGACAGGTTACTGATGGTTCTTTTAAAATACACTGGGCTTTCTTTAAATAGATAAGGTGTGTTTTACTTAACTCACTTATGTAACCACATATAAAAATAAAATCAAGATGAAATGCAAAGGAAGAGAAATCATATGACTGAGCACCTACCTTGTATCAGATTCTACATACCAATATCTCATTTAATAGTCTAAATAAACTACATATGCTAGACTGGCGGGGACGGGATGGAGCTCCTAATCTATGTGTTTAGATGCTACAAAAACTTCCCATTCCTGTTCTTAAACCAGAAAACCTATATTTACATGTTTTTGTAATAACAAAATGATGATCCCAATCCAAAGTGGGAAATTAGTGCAATCAAGCTAACATTTATTTCAAATATAAGTATGCCCCATTTTTAACAAAACTTGATATACGAATTCTGAACGCGGAGTAATAGAAATGTTAGGAGCTAGAGAAGGGTTTTCAAGATCATATAATACAATCTCCTAATTTTATAGATGAAGCAATTGAAATAAAAGAGTCCATTTTTCACCCAAATTAAAATAGTGCTAGACTACATCAGTGGTCTCCTCACTTCAGGTGTTATAGATCTAATTACACGAGGGAACTCAATTGTTTGCATGAGATCTTTTCAAGAGCATCTACACAGCTACTGAATTTAAAAAAAAAGATTTAATTTGCCTGATTATTGGCAGCAAACATTTCAGAAATATGGAAAGCCAATTGCCTAAACTGGGTCTCACAGATTAATAGAAAAATATTGTTTTTATGCCAGAACAGTGGCTGGCCCATAACTGGTGTACAATAAATGTTTGTTTAATGAAAGTGTGCCAACCTAAATAAAGTATTGCCATCATTGGCTCAATAGAGTCCATATGTCCAACTCAAAGCAAGACACCGTGAACAGAACTGCATGAATATTTCTTTCATAATCTCAAAAGTGGTGGATCTAAAAACTAGTATTCAAGAAGATGCCAGTAAGAGTCTCAGCATAAATCACCGAAGCCATTTTTGATTTAAAAAAACTCTTTATAATCCTCCAAATAAGTAACTCTTAAAAATGCTATGATTCTCCAAATGATTTAGAAGAAACAAATCTAAACAAGAGGCTAAATTAGCAGCTCTAATACTCATGTTGGCAATCAGGGAACTAAGACTTTGGGCTTAGTCCTAATCTTGCACACACATAGTAACTATTAACACTATCTTCAAAAAATCTGACCTCTCTCCACTCCTACTTTCTCCTAAGCAGCAGAAAAGCAGACGGTGTACAAGAGGGGTGGTTTTCTCGAAAGGAATCTGACCCCAAAAGTACTGCAAAGCTTTGCACCCCATTCACCACCTGGAAAAGCTCGGGCAAGAAATTGGAAAGGCCTAGAAACACCCTACAGCAACCACGGGAGAATACCAACGCCTTCCCCGCTGGATCCCGTAGCTCCCCTACCACCCACCCTGCAAAGCCGAGCCCGGAAATGAGCTGCCCGAGGTCCGAGGTGGGGCGTGAGTGACGTGCGGAGGCCCAAGCGCGCGGCAAGGAGCGAAGGCTGAAGGAGGCACCGGCGCCCATTTTGTCCTCAGCCTCCGCACTTTCCGCCCCGTCCCCTTGGGCCATGCAACCTACGCGGAATCCGGAGCCAGGCTACTCAAAGCTGCCCTGCATCCCCGACACCCGCTAGACTGCGGCGTGCAGCCGGGTCCAGAGGCGGTCGGGTAATCAAGCGCCGACCCCAGTTCTCGCCGGCGTCTCCTGAGACGCTTGAACTCGGCCTCCGCCTCACTCCAGGCCCCGCGGGCCCAAACCTCACTCCCGGCCCGGGTTATGAAACCCTCAACCTTGTCTGCCTGGGCCTCTGTCGCTCTCGAGCCCAGGCCTCACCCTCTCGCTTCCCCGAACCGAAGCCCCCTACGCCACCCACGGGCTGGGTCTCTCCCCTCAACCGCGGGCCCGTGGCTGCTCCCCGCCCAGGCCTCACCCCCGCCCCCCCTCGTCCCCCTTCACCCCTCCTCGCCCCCTCGCCTGCGTCTTCGGCCCCAGCACCCTTAGCCCCAGTGCGCACGCCCCGCCAGGACCGTACCCCCCGGCAAACAGATGCACCAGCGTGTCCCTCTGGCTCATTCTCTCTCCCGCATGTCCTCCGGGCGCTGAGGCGGGACGCGGATCTGGCCGCCCGCTACGGCAGGCGGCTTCGGTCCGGACTGGAGACGCACAGCGCCCCGGGGACGGCGAGGAGAGCTGGCCGAGACGCGGCTGCAAAAAGCAACCCGGCACAGCCCTCCCCGCGGCACTCTAGCCGCCCCGCCGCCTGCCTAAGCGCGCCGCCCTCCACCGAAGGCTGAGAGAGACCCGGCGCAGAGCGACAGAGGGTGGGCGGGGGATGGTAGGGGGAAGATGACTATTTGATGGCCCCCGACATAAACAGAGGCTCCCATTGGTCTGAGCGTCGTGACGTCACGCACTCAGCAGGACTCTTTCACGTGATCCCTGTGGGCTCTTTCAATGAAAGGGGCCACGAGGCGTGGCCAGAGCGCGTGCCCGCGGGGTGGTAGGTCACCGCGCCTCTCGCACCTGAGGCCTGGGGCGAGAGACCTGGAATGTACGCGACAATCACGGCTGCGCTCTCCTGAACAGGGAACTGGCGGAGCGGGAAAAATCGCCTTGGTTCCGGGTTCACAAGAGGATTACTTTGAAAAAATTGGATTTATGAGCCAGCAATTCCGTTGGTGTCTATCTCAGAGTAACATTTCGCACAATGCATAAAAAGGTTTGTGCATGGATACTCCTGTACAGGCTCACAAACAGTACAGAATTATGAACAATGCTTGTAGTAGCAGAAAATTGAAATCAGTGGGGGAATAAAGAAATAAATCACAGAACATTCCTACTATGGAATATTATGCAATCGTGACAAGGGATGAGGTGACTCCATATGGCAAAAAATCTCCCGAGGTGTGTAATAAGTAAAAAAGGCAAGTAGAATTTAAACACTCGGGTTTATTTTTTAAATAATAAAGTAAAAGTTCATGGAAAATGGAATTAAAAGATACAATTTAAAAATACAAACTTTGTTTTTCAACGTAAGCTTCATCAAGTTAAAAACACTTTGGTAAGTGATGGTACCAGCTGTTTAGTCCATCTGTAAAGAATTGAGGGTTATGGGAATTTAATCATGAAAATGCAGGCTTTTTTACATTATTAACTGAAGAAAAATGGGTGCCATTTACAGATTTTTCACGATTAGAAAACAAAAATATGTCAGAAGGAGCCAGGTCAGGAATGTAAGATGGATACCTAATAGTTTCCCATCAAAATCCCTGGAAAAATGCCCTTATTTAAAGAGGAATGAGCAGGAACATTGTCCTGGTGGAGAAGGACTCTCGGGTGAAGATTTCGTAGATGTTTTTCTGCTAAAGCTTTGCTTCACTTTCTCCTGTAATAAGCAGATCTTATTGTTCTTCGGCCCTCCAGAAAGTCAACAGGCAAAATACCTTGAGCATCCCAAAAAGCTGCTGCTCTGACTTCAGCTCTTGACCAGTCCACTTTTGATTTGACTGGACCACTTGCACTTCTTGGTAACTATTGCTTTGATTGTGCTTTGGCTTCAGGATCATACTGGGAAAGCTATGTTTGATCTCCTGTTACAATTCTTCAAAGAAATGTTTCAATATATTGATCCCACTTGTTTACAATTTCCATTGAAAGCTCTGCTCTTGTCTGCAGCTGATTTGGGTGCAACAGTCTGCACCCATCACGTGAAAATTTGCTCAACTTCAGTTTTTCCGTGAGAAATGTATAAGTAGAACCAATTGAGATGTCTATGGTGTTGTCTATTATTTGTGCTGTTAATTGCGGGTCCTCTTCAATTATGGCACACGAAAGAATAATCTTTTCCTCGAAAATCGATGTGGATTGTTTGCCACAGCAGGCTTCCTCTTCAACATTATCTCATCCCTTCTGCAAACAAGTTACCCATTTGTAAACTTCAGATTTCTTTGGGGGAATTTTCCCCATCAAACTTTTGTAAAGCATCCTTGATTTCCCCATCCTTCCACCCAATCTTGACCATAAATTTGACGTTTGTTCTTGCTTCAATTCATGCTGCTCTGATAGGGACTGTTTTCAAGCTGATGTCTTATCCTTTTTAGTGCCTCAAACTAGATCTTGTTCACATACATTATAAGAAGTGAGTATGAATTTTTGGTGCAAAAAAGTTTGAAATTCATACTTTTTTTTTTTAGGGAAAATGTTTATATAAATTTAAATTTATGTGTATTCCATCCTTCTCTTAACTGAAAAGAGTAAAAAACTTTCTGAGATTTTTTTTGCTACTTACCAGTTCTTTTTTTTTTTTTTTTTTTTTTAATATACTTTAAGTTCTGAGATACATGTGCAGAATGTGGAGGTTTGTTATGTAGGTATACATGTGCCATGGTGGTTTGCTGCACCCATCAACCCGTCATCTACATTAGGTACTTCTCCTAATGCTATCCCCTTGCCCCCCGCCAACCCCCAACAGGCCCCAGAGTGTGATGTTCCCCTCCCTGTGCCCCTGTGTTCTCATTTTTCAACTCCCACTTGTGAGTGAGAACATGGGGTGTTTGATTTTCTGTTCTTGCGATAGTTTGCTGAGAATGATGGTTTGCAGCATCATCCATGTCCCTCCAAAGGACACGAACTCATCTTTTTTATGGCCGCATAGTATTCCATGGTCTATATGTGCCACATTTTCTTTATCCAGTCTAACATTGATGGGCATTTGGGTTGGTTCCAAGTCTTTGCTATTGTGAATAGTGCTGCAATAAACATATGTGTGCATGTGTCTTTATAGTAGAATGATTTATAGTCCTCTGGGTATATACCCAGTAATGCAATTGCTGGGTCAAATGGTATTTCTAGATCCTTGAGGAATCGCCACACCATCTTCCACAATGGTTGAACTTATTTACACTCCCACCAACAGCGTAAAAGCATTCCTATTTCCCCACATCCTCTCCAGCATCTATTGTTTCCTGACTTTTTAATGATCACCATTCTAACTGGCATGAGATGGTGTCTCATTGTGGTTTGTATTTGCATTTCTCTAATGACTAGTGGTGATGAGCTTTTTTTAATATGTTTGTTGGCCACATAAATGTCTTGTTTTGAGAAGTGTCTGTTCATATCCTTCATTCATTTTTTGATGGGGTTTTGTTGTTGTTGTTGTTGTTGCTGTTTTGTTTTTGTTTTTGTTTTTGAGACAGAGTCTCGCTCTTGTTACCCAGGCTGGAGTGCAATGGTGCGATCTCGGCTCACTGCAACCTCCACCTCCTGGGTTCAAGTGGTTCTCCTGCCTCAGCCTCCCTAGTAACTGGGATTACAGGTGCCCGCCACCACACCCAGCTAATTTTTTTTTTTTTTTTTTGGTATTTTTAATAGAGACAGGGTTTCATTATGTTGGCAAGGCTGGTTCTTGAACTCCTGACCTCAGGCAATCCACCCACGTCAGCCTCCCAAAGTACTGGGATTATGGGCATGAGCCACTGTGGTCGGCTGGGGTTTTTTTTTTTTTTTTTAAATAAATTTGTTTAAATTCCTTGGAGATTCTGGATATTAGCCCTTTGTCAGATGGATAGATTGCAAAAATTTTCTCCCATTCTGTAGGTTGCCTGTTCACTCTGGATAGTTTCTTTTGCTGTGCAGAAGCTTTTCAGTTTAATGAGATCCCATTTGTCAATTTTGGCTTTTGTTGCCATTGCTTTTGGTGTTTTAGTCATGAAGTCTTTGCCCATGCCTATGCCTGAATGGTATTGCCTAAGTTTTCTTCTAGGGTTTTTATGGTTTTAGGTCTTATATTTAAATTTTTAATCCATCTTGAGTTAATTTTTGTATAAGGTATAAGGAAGGGGTACAGTTCCAGTTTTCTGCATATGGCTAGCCAGTTTTCCCCAACACCATTTATTAAATAGGGACTCCTGTCCCCATTGCTTGTTTTTGTCAGGTTTGTCAAAGATCAGATGGTTGTAGATGTGTGGTGTTATTTCTGAGGCCCCTGTTCTGTTCCAATGGTCTATATATCTGTTTTGGTACCAGTACCATGCTGTTTTGGTTACTGTAGCCTTGTAGTATAGTTTGAAGTCAGGTAGCATGATGCCTCCAGCTTTGTTCTTTTTTCTTAGGATTGTCTTGGCTATATGGGCTCTTTTTTGGTTCCATATGAAATTTAAAGTTTTTTTCTAATTCTGTGTAGACAGTCAATGGTAGCTTGGTGGGAATAGCATTTTAATCTATTAATTACCTTGGGTCGTATGGCCATTTTCACTATATTGATTCTTCCTATCCATGAGCATGGAATGTTTTTCCCTTTGTTTGTGTTCTTTCTTATTTCCTTGAGCAGTAGTTTGTAGTTCTCCTTGAAGAGGTCCTTCGCATCCCTTGTAAGTTATATTCCTAGGTATTTTATTCTCGTTGTAGCAGTTGTGAATTGGAATTTGCTCATGATTTGGCTGTTCGTCTATTATTGGTGTACGGGAATGCTTGTGATTTTTGCACATTGATTTTATATTCTGAGACTTTGCTGAAGTTGCTTATCAGCTTAAGGAGTTTTTGGGCTCAGATGATGGGGTTTTCTAAATATACAGTCATGTCATCTGCAAACAGAGATAATTTGACTTCCTCTCTTCCTATTTGAATACACTTTATTTCTTTCTCTTGCCTGATTGCCCTGGCCAGAGCATATCCAACATGACGTTGAATAAGAGTGTTGAGAGAGGGCATCCTTGTCTTATAATGGTTTTCAAAGGGAATGCTTCCAGCTTTTGCCCATTCAGTATGATATTGGCTATCAGTTTGTCATAAATAGCTCTTACTATTTTGAGACAGGTTCCATCAATACCTAGTTTATTGAGTGTTTTTAGCATGAAGGGGTGTTGAATGTTATCAAAGGCCTTTTCTGCATCTATTGAGATAATCAGGTCGTTTTTATCACTGGTTCTGTTTATGTGATGGGTTATGTTTATTGATTTGCATATGTTGAACCAGCCTTGCATCCAAAGGATGAAACCAACTTGATTGTGGTGCATAAATTTTTAATGTGCTGCTGGATTCAGTTTGCCTCTACTTTATTGAGGATTTTTACATCGATGTTCATCAGGGACATTGGCCTGAAATTTTCTTTTTTGTGGTGTCTCTGCCAGGTTTTGGTATCAGGATGATGCTGGCCTCATTAAATGAGTTAGGGAGAAGTCTCTTTTTTTCTATTGTTTGGAATAGTTTCAGAAGGAATAATACCAGTGCCTCTTTGTACCTCTGGTGGAATTCGGCTATGAATCCGTCTGGTCCTGGGCTTTTTTTGGTTGGTAGGCTATTACTTACTGCCTCAGTTTCAGACCTTGT